TTAATGACTCGAAAACTGCTTCCTTCGTTTTTTCCACTTTCACTTCAATTCGGGGCTCATTCGACTTGTCACGACCAGACGACGCAGGCATCAAAATATAGTATCCGGATAGTATCCACACAATATCGGTTGCCGTTAGGGATGGCATCCGGTGACGACGGGGACGACGCGAAGGTGCCGAAAATCGATATTCGTCGTTATTTTGGAATCCAAAATGGCGGCCATCGGGTTTCAGAAAAAGTGGTATTTTCGGAACGAGGATGCCGCGCAGATGCTGAAAATCGATATTCGATGCCATTTTGGAATTCAAGATAGTGGCCATTGGTTTTATGAAGTGTCAAATACCTTAAGATATGGTTATTTTCAGAACGGGATCAACGCGTAGATGCCAAAAATCGATATCCGACGCTATGTTGGAATCCAATATGGTGGCCATCAGGATTCAGAAAGTGTCAACTATCCTACAATATGGGTATTTTCGGAATGGGGATGCCGACAATCGATATTTGACGCCATTTTGGAATCCAAGATGGTGGCCATAAAGTTTCATAAAACGTGTCAAATACCCCCAACGCGTGGCTGCCGAAAATAGATATCCGATGCTATGTTGGACTTCAATATGGCGGCCATAAAAGTGCCAAATACCCTACAATATGGTTATTTTCGGAACAGGGACCAATGAGAGATGCCAAAAATCGATATCAGATACCACTTTGGAATCCAATATGGCGGCCATCAGGGTTCAGAAAATGTCAAATACCCTACAATATGGGTATTTTCGCAATGGTGACAACGTGTGAATGCCGAAAATCGATATCCGATGCCATTTTGGAATCCAATATGGTGGCCATCGGGTCATAATAAGTGTCCAATACCCTAATATCTGGGTATTTTCGGAACGAGAACGACGCGTAGATGCTGAAAATCGATATTCGATGCCATTTGTAGGCTATTTGACACTGAAATCGGTAGCCACCATGTTGAATTTTAAGATGGCGTCGGACATCGATTTCTTTGACGGTATTTCACAGTTTTTCTGAACCAAAGCCGCCATCTTGGATTTAAAGACGGCGTGACATCAATTTTGGGCATCAACGTCTCATCCCCATTCTGAAAATAACCATATTTTATGATATTTGACACTTTTCCGCAAATGGGAAGCCGCCGTCTTGGATTACAAAATGGCGTCGCATATCGATTTCCGGCTTCTAGACGTTACCCTGATTCTAAAAAAAAAACGTTTGTATGGGTATTTGACAGAATTTAAAACTTTTTCTCAACCCGGAAGCCGCCATCATGGATTTCAAAATGGCGTCGGATATTGATCTCCAATCTCGATCCCTAAAATATCCATATTGATGGAATGGCATCAGCGTTTCCCGTTACCTTTATTTATAGATATTAGACAGTATTTCCCACTTAATCTGAAACCGGAAGCTGCCATCATGGATTTCGAAATGGCGTCGGATATCGATGTTCATCCACTATACATCATCCTGATTCCAAAAATACCTTTATTGATAAGTATTTGACAGCATTTCCCACTTTTTCTTAAACTGGAATCCACCATCTTGGATTTCAAAATGGCGTCGCATATTAATTTTCGATCTCTAGACGTCACTCCAATTAAAAAAAATACCCATATTGATGGGTAAACAAACCACCCGACACTGATAAATTTGACATCCACGTGCACAGATCTATACACATACGCTTAAATGAACCGAATAAACAACCAACAAAAGTCATAAAAACTGCACGAATTTGTATCATACAGCTTCGCTTCAATGCAAAAGTAAGTTCATTTGACAATGAAAGAAGAAATGAACACGAGTCAAGCCAAAACAAACAGCATGAAAACCGATCGAAAGTGGTTCTCTTGATGTTGACGGGGATCTGTTCGAAGAGAAGACAGAATGACTTTCAATTGAAAGTGATGGTTGACAGCTTCATCGTCGCTTGACGATTTTCGATTGAAAGTGACTTTGTGGGGCCCTGATTGAAACTCGTAGAACGAATTTAGAATCAAGAAGCAGTATTAGATTTTAAACAATATCTCAACAATTTGTCACTCTTTATCAAATCTAACGGTGCGTTTGGAAAGGGGGGAGAGGTAGCTCATCGATTCTTCCGGTTCGCCTCCTAGCATCGTGCTATAAGGTACCAGGCGATAACCATGGTAGTTGATCGATAGCTCGATGAAATCATTTCGCTGGCGTCTGTAATGGGAACTTCTCATAGCAGGCGTTGACGATGGGACGTTGTCGAGTTGTTGAATAGCAACTATCGTGGTAACTCACCGATTACCTGTCGATCTGCCAAATTTGGAAATACGTCTGCATTGAATTGTCTCATATAATAATATTCCGCCCACTATATCACAAGAAATTGCGAGTAGCTGAGTGGAATGGAGATAAGTTAAGCATTGGGTACAGGACCAAGTCTCCCCTGGGTGGTGCCAGAAGATGAGCGCAATAGAATCATCTAGTTGCCATAAGGCACGGAATGAGACTATTTCGTTAGTCATTTCAGGTGGATTAGAGCAGGTTTAGGTTTAGGGTGGGCGTTGGCGAGATTTGGATTTTTCAGGTGTAATCCTGGATAGGACCCTGTCATTGAACGTCGCGTGAAAGTGGAACTTATTGAAGGCCTAAGTACTTTTTCGTAGTTTTTAGTTTTCGGATTTGAAAGATCGTCGGTTACAGTGGCCTGCTTACTGAGCAGTAAAATGCGGTCCCAGGTCCTTACATATCAAAGAGATTTATGGTAAAATCGTGTATTTTGCGAAACTCGTTGTTGGTTCCGGGTTTGAATGGATACAAAAATTTGAGCAACGGTATTATGTGATATGAGGGGCTCGGTGGCCTTAGAGCAACCGTTTTTGCTTACTGAGCAGAACATCATGAGTCTAATCTCAGGCCCTTCCACATTCAAGATTCGTCAATCGTTTTATTTGTTAATATGACTACATGGTAATAACAGCAACTCGGTGATTAAAAAGGTGCTCGTCTGCCTAGTAGCAAACGTTTTTGCTTACTGAGCAGAAGACCGTGGGTTTAGTCCCAAGCTCCATCGCGTTATACGATCGTTAGGACATCAATTCAGCTTATCGTTTACCAAAACGAACCCTGCTGCAAACCCAACCCTCTTATCCAACATCCCAGTGATTCCTCGTGGAAGTGCAGAGGTGTTCTCGGCTTCCATCAAAGCGAGTGTCATGTCAACACAATCCTTCCCATTCCTTTCTTGACCTGTGTTCGGGCGCGGCCGGCGCTGGTATTGCCTAATTTAAGATCACCAGTTTTTACACATTGAGGATGATTGCTAGTCCCAAGCATCGTCTATTGGTTCTCTGTGTAATTACAGCTGATCTGGCAATAACAGAGTAGCAACCGTGGGCGGTCAATCAAGCTCAAGCTCAAGCTCAAGCTCTAACGGTGCGTTTGGAAAGGTGAATAAATTTAGAAGCCATATTTGACAGAAATACTCAATTTTTTGTTTAAAATCGTTCAGAAAAGAGAGGTAAAGCGCGGGCTGTGCCTAGTAGGACGAAAATTAGATCAAAAACCCTACCTTACGCATTGATGTGAAGCATTCGTTGTGAATATTATTCGGCTGCGAATCGAATCATTGTCGAATGCATCACCCAAGTCTTCGAGCAGAAGTAAGCTGCTGGTGAGTGACGAATGCTTGATGGAAAAATGTAGTAACTCAGCGAATGATAGCGAAGAGGAGAGGTGCCAAAAATCCGGAGAAAACGAACCATTCGTGCATCACTTTATTCGTGCATAACTAGCGCATCGTTTACTGTGATAGCATCAAATCGCTGATGAGCAGCAGACAATGCGATGCATGATTCGTTGCGAATATCTGCAACCTTGATTACAGGAAACAGAGTTGGGAGGAAATACTATACTTTATCAACATGAAGCTTTAGTGCGATAATTTATTAGCTAGGGGGAGTTCTGAAGATGATAGATTGTTAGTTCCGCTAGAGTACTGCAGTGTTAAAAGTGAACAGAAGTTGAAATTGAGCAAAGGGCCATTTAATGCGACAATACTAATCAGACGCACACTCCTTTACCTAGCTCATACATTGATGGATGAAGGGATTTGAGGTATGTCCTCAGATCCACAGGGAATTCTAAACAGAATTCAAGCGAATTTTAAATAAAATTATGGAATCTTTGTTAAAAATTTAAAGACAATCTAAAGATTAATTTCATAATTTTTTTGGATTGATCTGCAGAGAATGTTTAAACTATTATAAATAAGAGAGAAGCTCAATCTCATTTAAGAAGAATTCTGAAATAAACTTAGTGAAAAATGCTTGACCATATTCCAATAAAATCCTAGTAAAATAAAGTTTGAGTGAATTTTCAAGGTAGTTTAAATATAGGCAAATTTTGAAAAATTCGAACGCAGAACCAAATTTGACCCAAGAAAAACGCAGCTGTCTTAGTAATGACCCATTTTAACTAAATACCTTCGGCTTTCGGTTTTATGCTTAATTTTAATGTATATCGTACAACCGGGAAAATTTCCAAAATGCGGGAAAAAACTGGGAAATTGCTAATTGGGATTCACTGGTCACTATGGATTTGGTTTATCATCTTAAATACGAAAAAGAAAAGTTTTACAAACCATACAACTTCATCCGATTCAACTTAATTTGTAGTAATTTATAAATGTTTGCTATCGCAGCACAACATAAAGTGAGCGTAAATTTAATGCTCACGAGTTCACCCACTTTCGAACCACTGTGCCGGTCGCGGCTCCGGAGAGTGCGTCGTCGTCGTCGTCGTCGACCATGTAGTCTGTGTAAATCTGCGAAGAGGAGGACTCCGCCGGATGAATGCCTACATTTTTCATATACCGATTCATCAGATTCAGTTTCGTCCGACGAGAGCGTGCGTGCGAGTGGCCAAAACTGTCGTCGTCCGCATCTTCCCGGATTTTATGCAAACAGTTTTGTTGATTTTGCTTTCTTTTTTGTTTAGATAATTCAAATACGAACGGCAGTGACAACAGCTGGAAGTGAATTTCGTGTTCGGGTAGAAAAGGAAAATTGGTGCAAAGAGTGTGACTATATAGTGTGATTCTTGGCAAATAAACGGGATAGACCGTACCGCCTATCGGTATCGGCAGGCAAGGGCTGTGTTGTGGATTCGGTTCCTGCTTGAAGCTGTATCGAACCGCCGAAGATATACACCTAGATAAACAACAGAAAACAGGTATGTGGACAGGGAATTGTTTAGTTTTAGATTGGAACCGTCAAGGTCGCTCCATTGTGCGTGCTAAAACTGCGTCCATCGAAACAAAGCTAGGGACAGGGACATTTTTCCCTAAATTGGTATTGCCACTGCAACCACAACCCCATTCCCAAAAGGAAGGAGAAGAGAGTTGCAGCAGCAGTCACGGTGGGAATTAATTTCAGATGAATGCATCACACTCACCGACAGTGAGGAGCTCTTGGGTGAGAATTTGACTCTCACTGTGAGGCCGTTACCGGTTCGCTCTCGCTCCCGTTTGCAGAGATTATTTGCGAGTTGGTGAACAGACAGAAGCATTGAGAACTACCTACACAGATTGCTTCAACCGGCGTATAGGATATACATAATCCCCCATTTCAGGGAGAAGATGCATTTCCTTGCTTGCGGTGTTGAGCTGCTTGAGCGAGGGGTTCGTAGATGGTTCCGAGCTCGAGCGAGTAATTTTAACTAAAATACATTCAACGATAGCTAAGTGACTGATTTGTGTGTGAAAGTTTGCTTACTGTAGCAAGTTTCAACTGAAAAGCACTTTTATGTCAAAATAGTTCAAAATTGAAATTTCATGGAAAATCAGATGGCCTTAAAATACATTTGACAACTGGTTTTGCACATGAAAATAAAACGGGTCTAAAAACTGAACTAAAGCAGAACATTCCGATTGGTTGTTTAATTTAGGATATATTGAAATTCACAATAATGCAGTGTTTCTCAATCTATGAGTTGCGACCCGCCGAAGGGTTTCGGGACGTCTATAGATGGGCACAAGAGTTCAGACAACTTTCTCCTAAGTCGCTGCAGTTTTATGGAAAATTATTGATCAAAATTTAAAAATAGTTTGGGACGGAGTTATACGCATAACTGTCCCATGTTCTATGTAATCCTTATGCACCGTGGGACTCTTATGCGTATAACGGCAGTATAGGAACCTAATGCTTCTTACGTACCGCAACTATAGGAGCGTTTACCCTATTTAACATTCACATATTTTTTCTTTAATTCTTTTCGTTGTGAATGAAAGCCCATTTGAGTGAAGCTGCTTTCAAGCCTCTTCTCCGATAGACACAAAATCTTCTATCCTTTCAAACGAAATTTATAATAAAATGCACTTTCCAATGAGCTGAATTAAGGTCGTATGGCTGTAGCTTATAATCTAATTCAATATTTATAATCTATAACAATGCACAAACAGAGAGATTTCATATCAAATAGACCAACTTGCTAGTTGGAGAGCTCGAGAGCACAGGGCTGGTAGCGAGTCACTTTTTAGTGACTTGGTCACTTTTTTCAAGTCAGTCACTAAAAAGTCTCTTTTTTTTAAGGCCAAGTCAATAAAGTCACTTTTTCTTGTAATAAGTCACTATTTTCAACTTTGTGGCGCTTAATCGTCTTTCTATATCTACAGGGTGTCTACTCATTTTTCTAAATAGACTTACCTGAGTTTTTCAGGTTTATTCAGTACTTTACCGGATAAAATCCAGGTTTATAATAAGAAATCTATTCTTTAAATGCGTTAAAAATATGCTTTTTTGTAGATCAACAACTGCAATTTGCATTAACTGTTTTAAGACATGGCAATCAGTGTTAAAGAAACAGCTTTACAATCAAATCCATTGAATGTTGAAGTTTAACACTTACCTAATTTCTCACTTTATAAAGTTCAAAAAAAAAAACTTACTTAATTTGAGTAAGTCTAAGATCTAAAATTGTTCAATATCTTGAAGTTTTGTATTTCATATTCAAGATATTATAAATTTTGAAAGCTCCAGAATCAAAAAAAAAAATAAATGATTTTTTTAAGGTTCGTAAGTGTAGGAACTTTGGAGAAATTCTAAGTAATAAAAAGAAATGCTGAGAATTTCAGTAAAGCTCCATAAACAAACTGCAGGAACATGAGAGAAGTAAATACGCTGAAAATATGGGGAACTTACTGGAAGCTTCAAGAACCACAGGTGTCAAGCGAACTTGAGAAATATAGAAAACATGAGGGGTATTGTGCAATTTTTTTAGAAGTTCTAAGTACCTCAGAAAAGTTAGAGATTTTTGGGGAATTTCAGATCTTAAGAGCAGTTTCCGAAGCTTTAGTCCAGACTTTTGGAGCAGGAATAAAAAAGTGGAAATCAGGATAGTTCCATGATGTGCTGAAAAAAAAAATCAGAACCCTTAAGATGTTCCGAGAATTTCAGAGAATTTATGAAAACTTCAGAAATTTTCCAGATACTTCACAGAAGTCCAGAGAATTTCAGGGAAATTTAAAGGTGTTTACGGGAATCCCATTTATTTCCGAGCAGAACCGAGATCTTAAATAGAATTGAGAGCTTTAGGGAAGCATCGAGAACATCAAGACAGATTAGAAAATCAAAGGGCAGTTCAAATAATTTCAAGGAAATTGTAGAAACCTTAGAGAAGTTGCGAAAAACTCAGGCAATTTCCGTAAATTTCAGCAAAGCTTCGAAAGAATTTCTTGAACGTGATAAAAATTATGAACATCTGGAAAACGTGAGAGTATTTTAAGCGTGTTATACTATGGAGATTTCAAGTACTTAAAAAATGCGAAAATTTAGTTAAATTTATTAGAGAAAATCAACGAAGTTCCATTAATTAAAAAAATGCGAGAACTTTTAGCAAGCAGTGATATCTTCAAGAAATTCCAAAGAAATTCTTATAAATTTAGATAGTTTCATTATATTCAGCGAAGTTCCGAGTACTTCAAGGACGATCAGATATTAAGATTAACTTAAGCAAATTTGCAGCGACTAACAAGGAGTTCCGTGGAATTATGGGGTATTCCATAAATTCTATGATTGATCCGAAAACGTCAGAAGCTTCAGGGAATTATGAATATATATTAGAAAATCTGCCGGATTTTTAAACAAATTTAGAGAACTTCAGGTAACCATAGATAAGTTCAGGGAAAAGGGAAAAGTGAGCGTTTATAATGCTTATATTACTTAAAGAAAACTGTCGAAACTTTAAGGCAACGTTAGAAACATTGAGGAAATTTTAGGAAGTCCTATAAAGTTCAGGGAAGTTTAAAAATTTGATTAGAAGTATTGTGAGTGTTCGGCTAGTTTCTCAAACTACAAAAGAACTTCAAGGCAGTTTCATTAACTGACTGACTTTATTCTGATTTCCATTGAAATATTCCTCAACATTTCAATAAAGCTATCCTCCTAATTCAATTTTCTTTTAGTTTTCCTCGGAATTATCTTGAAATTCTCTTTTTGAGAATCACACCTTGGAATTCTGCTCACATTGAAAGTCTCCTAAGAATTCAGTGGCATTTCTCCTCACAAATTCCTTAGATTTATTCTCATAATTTGTATGGCAAACCCTCCTGAATTTATTTTCCGAATTCCTTTGAAAATGTTCTGGAGTTATTCTCAGATTTAATTGCAATCCTCCTTTTAGTATTTTCAAAAGGATTCCAAGGACTTATGCTCTGGATTCGTTTTCTCCCACAACTTTATAAAATAATCCTCAGAAGGCTCTTGAAATTTTGTTCTGAAGGAGGTTGGCTTCTCAGAAATTTTCAGAGTTTCCATTAAAATTAGCAAAAATTAGAAATTAATTCAGGGTTTCTAGAAATTCTACTCAAAACTTTCTGGCTTCACAATACATCTAAAATTCCTTCATTTGATTTTTTTCTGAAAGATTTTTTTCCCAGAACTTCCTTGAAATAAGGTCCTTAGAAATTATAATAAAATTTCACGAGCTTTTAAAACTGCTTGGATTAAGACTCCAGATTCTTGAAAATTTATATAAGTATTATAGCTTTTAAGTCCAGAACTAGTGCACATTTGAAAATTTCTAGAAAATAAGCATGTTCCAAACCCAAAAAAAAAAACAATTCTAACCTCTGTTTTTTTTTTTTTATTTATTTCTTACTGAATATTAGTCCACTGTGGATCTATAAAGTTCAAAGTGTGAATGTAAATAACGAGAAACATTAAATACTTGTATTTTAAAATTCATTATTTTCTTTAAATATCCTTAGTAAGAAAATTATTAAATTCTCTGAGCCTTCCAGATATTTTAAAGAAAAAATAAATTTCCTGAGGATTCCCGGATTTCCAGGTTTTTGAAGTTAGTTGACACCCTGACTAATACCTTGGGTTTGGCCATAAACTTTCTAATGAATCTTGCGTTTTAAAGGTTCATATCGTACATAAGTGTTTATAAGATACTTATTGAATAAGTCTAAAACATCAAACATTTATTTTCTCTTAGGTGACTTTTTAGTCACTATTTTTACAACTATAAGTCACTATTTGGTCACTTATTTCTTCAACATGGTCACTAAAATCACTATTTTTTAAAGCAGGGGTCGCTACCAGCCCTAAGAGCATGGTATACCTAAGAGAAGAGGAGACAATACGGGGGCGAAAATGAACCACTTTTCTATCAAACGCGAACCAGCTCTTGATTGGCCGATTTGATGTGCGTAAGATAGAGATAGAGATAAAAGAGTAAGAAGTCAGTTGTCTCCTCTTCCTCTTAGTGGTATACAAGAACGTTTGACGTTTCAGGAATGGTGACAGCGTTGAAAACGTAGATGAAGCAAGTGCCAGAACCAATTCTCGAGTAACATTTGAAATGGGCCTATCGGGTTTTGATACCATTCTTTAGCACCACTTGATAGCTACTAATCGTGTAGGAAAGTTCCTCATAATCGAGATCTTCGATGTGAAACATATATCAAATAGACAAGAAAAATTATGTAGGTAAATATATCATTTTCCAGGATGCTTTCAAGAACTGGCTGTGCTGGTGTTAGATTAGATTAGATTAGATTAGGGAAAGTTCCGCATAATCGAGAAAAATCATTAAAAATAACTCGATTTTCGAAACGGCCGATCAACGAAATTTTTCGATTCATTAATAGGCCCACACGCTAAAACGGCCAACCATTCATTTATTTCATTTCATTGATAAGCCTAGTGACGTAGAAGGACCGATGATTG